CTGACACGGTGCGTCTCGGTTAAGATGAAGAGTCTGAAAGGACCCCTAATTGTCGTTCCGTTCTATATCATTGCAGAGCGGAACCGGCTCTCTAACGATCTGTCGGTCCTCATCGGTCCACCAGCTCTTCAAGATCTCGGCTATCGTCTCGTCGATCTACATCAGCACAGCGAGCAGGAGGCCAACACAGCAGAAGATACCAGCACGTTGTCACTCTGCCAGCAGTTCGGTTGCAAAGCTACTGAAAGGCTATGCAACTATTTTTTATGGAGGGAGGACTTGCCGATAAGTACAACAACTTGATCGACGAACCCTGACCCCCAAGTCTATATAGCTCAAGAAGAGTCTCTGAAGAACCAGACATCTTGACCGACAACTACCCGGAAGATGGAGCTCTGGTGACAGACACAAGATGTTCCGCTGAAGATACAACACACTTGATCGAGCGGACCCGCTTGAAAAATAGTGGTTTATGGACAGCGAGGATGACTCCTAATCATCCTACAAACGACTCCATTAAGTGCAGCATCCCTGTACCAAAAATCTCCGCCAGTGCTATAGACTTGGACATCAAGATCGACGTCATGGTAGACCGTGGCTTCAACTACTTACTCGAACGCCTGCGAGATCGGCGATGCATCCCTAACGGTAACACCTACAAGACCAGAGTGAGGCCCTTGGACCCCGGCGAGCACAAGGACTGCCCTGGCCAAACACACGTCTATGAGATAGATTGGGACGATGACTTCTCACCGATAATGCCACGCGCTATCAAAAGCCGGGACTTCTCCACTGCTTTACTTAAGCGCCTCGATAAGAGCTCTCAGGCAATGCCTGACAGGCATGCTTGAGAGTGGAAGTCTCACGGTATGTTGATAATAAATGGTGGTTAGAAGACGAGGACGACGCCACCTACGACGAGTCCTATATATGTGCCTTCCTTGTGAGTCAACCAAACCACCTGGGACATAGGGTGAGAGCCTGTGCAGACTACAGGTCAGTCAACCAGGGCTATCCTGCAGCGGGCTATAACAACCTCTCACTTAGTAAATGTGCACAGGCTCTGCTCTCCGCTGACGTCAGTACTCTGTCCTTTAGGGACATTGCTAAAGCATTCTTCAAACTACACCTCCCACAACACCGGGCGCTGACTCTGAAAACATGCAACAAGCGGTATCGGTGCCGGAGAGTCAGCTTTGGTGTGAGGTTTGGGCCTCTGGCCCTCCAGTCTTTTACCGACTACATGACCGACAGTATCTATATGGCCCTTACTGGGAACCCTCCTCCGGACCAGCTCCTTCCCGAGGAAAGGTACCAGTATCTACCGAACCTTATCATTCTTTGCTACTACGATGACATAGCGATAGCTCTTAAGGATGAGAGACTCGTCAAAACGGTTTGGAACCTACTTGACTGCATAGGGGAACGCCTAGGGATTACTTTCCCAGCTGAAAAGTCCTCTTGGTTATCTTCTAGCACTTCCACTACCACTTCGCACTTGGGCCTGTCCTGGTTCTTGGAAGCTGACCGCCTTAGAACATCCTTTGCTATCCCTGATCTCAATTGCCTTGATACAGCGCTGGATGGTGCTGTTACGAAGCGAGGTTTGCTCAGCCTCTGTGGTAAGTGCATAGACCCTCTATCACTGCATTCAGAGAGAGATCTGCTAGTGGATTCTAATCGGTCATGGTCTGGCCGATTCGGTCATGCCACTGATAGAGCCTCCTGGGACTCTGAGCTCCGCCTTAATAGGAGAGATAGAGAAAAGCTGAAGCGGCTACTGAGCAATATAGAAGAGCTCTCTACTCAATGCAAGCATCGCAGGTGGGCCGGCTACAAGCACATAATTGTCACCTGGAGCCAATTAAAGTGCCCACTTTTCCAAGTCCAAGTGGAGGGAAAGAAGTCCTTTCCAAACTTGGAGAAAAAACGTCTATTAAAGTGAAGCAATGTCCAAGGGGATATCTCCAAGTACTTGGATCCACGCGCAGAGTCCTGTTTCCAATCCAAGTGAACACTTCCACGCGAGCGCGGATTAAAGTGCGCGATTTCCATGTTCCGGAGGAGGGTCATTTTTCCACCAGTCGCGCGACTCCGAAGCGCAGCCCGTTTGTTCCAAGTGCACTAATAACTCGATAAACTACGAGAATATTGAACAAAAACGATCCTTCATCAACATGACCTTTACCAACATGTTACTTATAACAAACTCACCTCATTCCCTACCCTCAGTGCTCTCGTCAATCCTCTGATGATGGCCTAAGTCGGCAAGGAACTTAGCGCAAGACAGGTCGTACAATCTAGTTTGCTTGGTATGCTCAATTCTTGCGGCCTTGCGGCCTTAGTAAGTAGTTAAATGTTATTAGTCGACTCGACTAAGTCGAGTATGAGTACATTGTGTGAGTTTCGGGCATGCCGCACGCAGCGTGCGAGCGGTTGCGTTTTCCAAGCACCGAAATTTTTCCAAGCTGTGGTTCATTTTCCACATTGCTACTTTAATTCGATGAACCTCGCCCGGGAAAACGTCTTAGAAAATTTGCCCAGAAAGTCGACCTTTCCAAGTAGCATCACTTTAATGGAGCGTGGATGGGAAAACCGACCCTTGGATGTGGAACCTGGATTTGTCGCCGTGGACTTGGAACCCGGAAAGGCTTAGCACTTTAATTGGCTCCTGGTGACAATTATGTGCTTGTAGCCGGTAGAGTTTCTCCACCGAAAAACCTGCAGACACGTATTGTCCGCAGACTTTCCGGATGACTTTCCCTGGGCTATAACTTTGGCTGAGGCACTGTTTCCGGGTTGATCACGCTGTGTGTAACACGTAGCCTGGTGCGCAAAGTATTTCATCGACAACCGCTTGCAGCTGGTCACCAGTAAACTTTGAAATATATCCTAAAAACCTCAGGGGTCTTGTAGAACGAGTTTTGAGAAATGCAAACTCAACAACGGGCTGAAATAGTATTTTGAATATACTACGTGTACTTAGTTAGTTAGAGGCGCGAGATCTTTTCTCCATCTGGGCATCTGCTATTCAATAGGAAGCTAAGTAGCTTCACTATCTTGGATTGTGCGTCTTATCGCATCACTCAGCTGTTGTGTTGTTTGTTCAGCTCAGTTGCGCGGCTTGTCGCCCATATTTTTTGCCGCTTGGCTCGTGCCACTTCTGCTACGCAGAATTCAACTTCTAGCACTAGGATGTGAAAAAATCGTCAGATAGTTCACCAGTGTGTGGCACCACTACCAGTGGCCCACTGGCAGTGGGTAGTACCCACTAAATGGCTCATGCGAATCTGGATCACTCAAGTGATAATGTAGGAGACAATACTCATCAATGCCTCAAAGGATACTATTCCACGTCACGCACGCAATACAAATAAGAACGGCAATGCGTGGGTGACGAAGCACCGCCCGCCAGTCCATAAGTATCACATGGCAAAGCATAGCCCGCCGAGAATGCAAGCACGCCGCTTAACATAGCATAGCGGCACGCCAAGCGCTCAATAGCAGGTACCAAAAAATGACAGAAGAAAATGAGAAATAATGTTTCGGGGGGACTGAAGAGTTGTGGACCCCTTACTCGACCCCTCAATCATTCCTTGAGCTTGGCGACACCTATAGTAGCTCCAGCCCAGTTGAAGGAGTAGTAGTGACCGACAAATGCTGGTAACCCCAAAATCCACCTTTCAGCGAAATCAATGGTCAAGATACATACGTCGGGCTCGGGTGAAACGATGTATGCTTTAGGAGGTATCTCAAGCGTAACATCGGCTTTATCGGGTATTCCTCTCACAGTGAACCTCATCGACGGCAAGAAGCTGACATCTTTGCAGTCGACGCCGTAGACGTCCTTATGCTCAAAAACTTTGACCTTCTTCTTGCCGGCGGTACTAAGGAGAACTATGACGTCTTTACGAAGCCGCTTGGGGATACTTATAAATGAGGAACCTGTGTCAAAGACAACTGGCCCGGGCTCTTCTTGTCGCTTAGATCCCACGGCGAATGCTTGCAGTTCGCTGGTGTGGCGCACCTTACTTGTAATACCAATATACTTCAGAGGACCATCATATTTACTAGCATCGTCACCACCAATAATAAGTTCGCCTGATGGGGATTTCCCAGACGATAAATAAACCGCAAAAACAGGACTATCGACGAGTTTCGCTAACAGTAGCTGATCAACAAAGCGCGGAAACGGCGGGTTGGTGTCCTGTGGTCCGAGCCCGAGAGCTGCCCAGGCACCGCGTGAAGCACCCTTCACCACTCCGAATTCTATGTGCTTGGCAGTCGCACCGTTGAAGTAAAAGTCTCCAGAGAATGGGAAAATGGTCAGCGAAGTTTTGTCAATAAAACTAATCTTCTTGGCGGCGTTCAACTCAGAAGACGTTGGGTTGCAGTTATAACACTTGTAGAAAAGTTCATCGCACTTGCCGCCGGGGAGGCTTTCGTACCAAGTTTTCCATATCAACTGAGTGTACGGGCTCCCAGTATCGACGACGGCATTAAGATCTTGAGTGTCGACCTTCAAAGGAGCCACGATGCGTGTCCAAGGCGCCGAGCGTTTAGTTTGTTGTACGGATATCTTCAACCTGATTACTTCACCACCACTAAAGGTCACAAGGAGCACTCCGATACAGACGAGGGAGAAATGAGGGAGATTCATGGCTGGTCGAATGGAGGTTAATACTTCAAAACTGGTGCCAAATCGTCCGAGTGGCAGTCAGCGTACTGAAGAAAGTCTAAGCGTTGGAGATGTTGTGCTACTCGACACTTGTAGCCGATGTGATGTGAAAGAAAGAACACTTTTTGGGCGGTCGGCCTGGTTTTAGCTACGGGAAGATCGATCAATTCACGTGTGCAGGCCAACTTGCACACAGCCTTGTGCGTCATCTTCACGCACCAATCACAGAAACCTGACGATGTGGTCATCTTTCCCAGATGACTCAACGAAAGAAAATTGATTTGAGACAGAAATAGCTGATGATAATGTCAGATAACCAAGCCATCTATGGATGTAACAAAGCACGCATAGAGAGCATGAGGAGACATTGTCTCCGAGACAATAATGTACACGATACTCGTGACACGATGCAGCGAGGCTAGCAAAATGGTAAATCTGAGGCCCGAAGTTCGGGCCTCAGATTTTCGGGCCCCGAACACTTAAGGTCGCAGATCAAGCGTTGAGATAATTCCACAGATTCTATTCCACTCTCATGCGAGGCTTTGCTGAATCTAAGCTTAATGGGGGATGACAATTGCACTTTAAGTCACTACAGTGTGGCTATTTAAAACAGGGCTCAAAGCAGAATATTTGATAAGCGGGTTTTGACTAAGATTGGGAAGTTTTCCTCAAATCCAGGCCAGTTTTTCAAAGACATGAAGACAAGACAAGCGTCTCGGAGTTTTAGATTCTTCTTGTTCTAAAACATATACATGTCGTGCGGTCTGCACACGCGTGCGGACTTCGTGAATTATGAACGCTGCACGCGTGCGCAGACCGTGCAAGCGCAGAGTATCACGATGGAACTCGGATAATCGGGAACCTTTTCCGATTATCTACACATTTTCCTCGTCGTGTTTACATTAAGTATTAGAGTAGCGAGATATACCTAAGTTTTTTAATTCCGCACGGTACTCATGGAAATTTTTAATAGTTTTGTGCCTTTAAAAGAAGTTTTTTCAATCCTTATAAAATACTCTGGCTCAAAGTGGAGTAGCGACTGTAGTGGGATCTTGCGCAGTCATTTGTACTTGCGTGCTCTGTTCAATCCATAGCTAATCGGGGAGGCTGGTCATAGTTGGTGGCTGTTCCAGCTGTTGGCGCTCCTCTTTGTCACTCCAACCTCACTACTTCATCCAACCACTCTTACTAAAGTCCCTCTGGGTTGTGTTACCTCATCTGAACACTAGAATTACCACTTAGTTCATATCTGTCCCGAACCCTACAACACGACTTCTGGCGCGGTAACAGTGGGCAGCTGCTTCGCAAATCGTACGCCTTGGGGTGAGCCTCCGTGGTGTTTCGTCTCTTTTGGCATTCACACCCCTCAGTCTACGGAGCTCGTTGGCTTGCATCGCTTCCCCACTGTTCACAGCGCGAGTTAACGAGATCGTAGTCAGAGTTCCACATTCCGATAAACTCTGTTTCTCGGTGTAAAGCGTGCGTGATCTAGCCTCGCGATGCACTTGCGTGCATCTCTCGTGTCACGTGACGTGGACCCGGATAGGGCTACGTGTCACGCCGTATCTCGGGTACTCTAGGTTCCCTGAGGTTGGTGGACTCTAGGTCCCCAACATAACTGTAACAGTTAAACTGTTTCGTTGATCCACCCATCCCTCCCCGGGGTGAGCCTTCGTGGTGCTTCGTGTCTTTTGGCGTTCGCACCCTCAGTCTACGGAGCTTGTTTGCGGGCCCCTCGCGCTGTCACTAACTTCCATGTCTACATGGATGAAGGCCTTCGGGTTGGTGGACACACGATCAGCCCCGTTCATTGCATCCTTTCCCATGAGGCATTATTTGCTGAGCCTTTTCGGTGTCGTTACGGGTTATGACCCTACATTTTTCTGTGTAGCCTCTCATTAGTAATGAGTCATTACCCATCTTCTGATGCCCAACTCATACAACTTATTTGAGACCCCATCTTCAAAGGGGCCTTGGGGTTGAGTTGCCGCCAGTTATTCCGGGGTTTGAGCCGGCCGACGCTACACCTCCGATACCAAACACTCACTTGTCGAGTATCGTATATGACATATACGTTTCTCGACTAAAACGGTTGTTTTACTGTGTAGCATGAAAAATCCGGTGTCGCCGAGTTCGGACACATGTCGGCATTGCCGACTCGGCCACGTCCCCAACGTTGTTACTGAGGCGGTATCCGCCTGTTCAAAAGACCGATTTTAAATCTGAGAAGCGTTTCTAGGAACAATTCTGGGATTCTGGGATGTTCA